GGAAACATCTGTTGCAGGGCTGTTACTGATTTTTAGGTTTTATGTCGTTATGGGCGTTGTACCAGAACACGAGGATCTAGTAGAGGGTGGAATTTCAGAAGGTTGATAGTTGGTGTTGGTTCAGTTGCATTCTGTGAAATGATTAATACTTTGATGACTTCTTTATTCTCACAGCCACCAGCACTCACAATTATCATCACTCACCAATAAAATTTATTTTTACTGAATAAATTTCAGAGTTCTTTATCTTGTTCTTTTAAACTTTATCATACGATGATATGTGGTTTCAAAGTTAATTTTTCACTCTTATTATTTAACTTATCCTGGTAAAGAGTGAGTGAGCTTGCCCTATCTTTGGAAGAGAGGATCCCCATAACACTTTGTTGAATTAAATCCCCAAGCTTTGTCTAGCGTATGTTCAAAACTAGGGTTGGCAAAGTCCAAAAATATTTCTTTCTTACATAGCCCTTTGTCCTTACACACAGGTTTTGTAGCTTGTGCTTAAAAATTTGTCACAACTAATACAGTGGACATTATTCACAGTCTGCTCATTGTTCTGACATACTCAGCATAACTGGTTAACTTCCTCTTTATTACGCCGTCTCCTTTACAGGAGGTTGGCGACATATTATGAACAGGATCCTTCCATCCTTTTCTCGGACCGGGACCTGTTCATATACGTTCTTGGCAAATGATCCAGAAGTGGTTTGCCATTGCCTTCTTCTGTGTGTGAATGGAGTAATTGTTTGGATGCCACGGAGAAACCGGGGAAGCCCCCGGAGGAAAACTCCGTGTTGCCTAGACCACGGCCTTGCCCAACACAAGTTATAAATTCGGGCACCGCCGGGAATCGAACTCGGGACCCCAGAATTACAAGGCCAGCGTTAAATGGCTAACAATATTTGTTTATTATGTAGCGTGGTTTATAAGCTTTCATTTTTCTCTCTTAGAACTTTTGTACATAATTAATAATTGTTTGGATATGTGTATTTAGAGACCTAGAATGATATTAAGCTGAAGAAATTACATTTTCCATTGAATAATGCGCTGTGTGATTGTTCTGAATTTCTTCAGATGACGAGGTACAAGCAAGCAGAGCTCGAAGAGGATGATAGCAGTAGCGTGGGTTCTGTCCAGCTAACAGAAGGTGTCTCTGCCACTGCAACTCACATCAGATACCACACTGTAAGCTTAAGAGAAGTCCTTAAATAGTTTCAATTTAAATTATTTATGTTAGTATTTATTTTGGTGAGCATTATATTGGCCTGAAAGTCTACCCATAAATTTGGCTTCATCTCAAAATGGAAAAAAATATATATATATTTCTGCAACACCTATTTTGCTATCCTTTCATCACATCCACAGCATATACTGTTTCAGTTCATCATCATCATCATTATTTAGGGTTTAGGCCATATGGCCTGCTCCTTGGAATCTGTCCGGCATTCTTTCTTGAGATTTTTTTGAGTAATTAGTAGCCCCCTGGGTTGGATAATGCTATGAAGTAAGTGACTAATTTCATCTGTATTTGATTACTCAGAATCGTTTTCTACAAAACTAGTTGTATACGTTTTGTAATGTCATGGCTTCAGGCTACACTTCCTTTTCTCATACAACAAACATGGTATACTACATTATTTGCAATTCTAGCTGCACTGTATTCAATTTCCATTAATCACTTATTTTATTTATAGCTTGATGGGAGGAGGTGGGAGGAGAGATGTAGGAATAACTTTTCTTTTCTGAAGGATAAATAATCAAACCATTAATTAACAAATTTTCAATACATAAAGATAAATTGAAAGACTGTGTTCTTCGAATGTCCTGATCAAGAATCCATTTCCATGTTCCATTGCATATTCTGCTAATAACCGCATGAACGAAGATGTTTGACAAGTTGGTACAAATTCTATCATTACACTGTAAAGGCCACTGGGCCTTAGATGTCGAAGGCTGATAATGGTTATAAACATGTAAATAATCTAAAACTGGTATTTTTATAAAATCTAAGGTGTGTCTAATTGAAGTATTAATTTCTAGTTCATTATGCCCATAAAAGTGCACACGTTGTAATGTAAAATAACATCTTTAGGTATTTACAGTAAGCCTACTGAGAAATTTAAAAGTAATTCCAAATGTTTCACCTCTTGTTTTAAATCTCACTCCTTCCCTGTCATGTTCTAAAATAAAAGGTTATAAATGTAATTTGTCATTGAAATAATTGCGCTCAAGAGGAACAAAGAAAATTGCATAATGAGGAGCTTCATAATTTGTACTGTTTGGCAAATATTGTTAAATTATCAAAACAGTAATGTTGAGAAGGGTGGGGCACGTAGCTCACATGGGACTAATGAGAAGGGCATACAAAATTTTGGTTAGACAACCTGAACGGAAGAGGCTATTTGGAATATGGTGGGAGGGTGTAGACTGGGTTTATTTGGATATGGATGACCAATAGTCAGCTCTTGTGAATATGGTAATGAACATTTTGGTTTTATAAAAGGTAAGAAATTTCTTGACTAATGTAGGATTCTGCTTCATGGAGGTAGTTAATTATGGCTGTTAGGAAAGGCTATTTCATTGTGTTACTTAAAACAGCATGAAGACTGATTGTGTAATTCCAGGTGCCTTAACTTTCTAATAATTATTAATTAATTTGTTTGTATATTTATTTTTGCAAAGGCATATGCTGATGAAATGGCTTTATCCTCTCTGACACTACTCAGTAACATGTCATATGACATATTTTCTTTAAACGTTTCTGATGCAAGTGTTACATTTCTCTTTCTCTTTTTTTTAATATTCTTAGAATTTGTATTTTAGAAATAATTAGTTTTCCATACTAGAAGTTTATCTATTTTCCATGCCTGAGTTGTTATGTGTTGATAGGTAATTTTTATATTGGGTTTGTAGAAAGAACAGAATAGGACATTTCCATATCTAGAATTCTTGAGTTTATTTCCTCTTGGCAGAGCAAGGCCATTTGTAAATATTTACACTCGTCTACTGAGTTTAGAGGTATCAGTAAATTACTGTCAACACATGAGAATGTGGGAGTCACTGAGACCCTGTCTAGATCATTATGTTAACTTATTTGTTGCTGGCAAACAGTGAAACATGTCTAGTGTTGCTATTCATTATATTTATAATATGGTAATGTGGTGAATGTGATTCTAACTAAACAGTAAACATAGAGTAAGCAAACTAACAACTATTAACGCTATAAAAAGACACTATTGCCATACGCATTTCGACCTCAAGAGGTCATCGGCACAGTTCACAGGTACACACGACACAACTATAGCTCGCCGAGACCAGCTACGGCCACCGAACACGGGATCAATAGCTAAGTGCAAGTTCTACTCCTGTGAATAACAGCATCTAGTGTAGTGTTGCTTGTTATGCTTTTGTAAAATACTCTACTTCATTATTTGTTTTCTAAACCAATTTTAAACCATTTTGATTAAATGAATTAATTTCCCTGATGCCACTGATGATGACCTCTTGAGGTCGAAACGCGTATGGCAATAGTGTCTTTTTATAGTGTTAATAGTTGTTAGTTTGCTTATTCTATATTCTAATACTCTACACGGTATGCAAAGTTTTAAACAGTAAACAGTTACACCACAAAAGAAAGAAGGAAGGTCAGCTGGATCGCCATTGAATCTCTGAAGCTGACCTTTGTTATGTATCAAGTGTTGTAACAGGTAATCTTAATAGGAAGGGGTGTAGGGACTATATACTACTCATACTGTAGTATGACTCATTATTGGAAAATGGTTACTGAATCCCACTCAGTTTTGCATTAAATTCCTCATTGAATTCATTTTAACTTTCCTGTTTTCATGAATAGTATTTATAGTTTATTGTTTATATCTCTTCCATGTTGCGCTTTAGCTGAAACCTCCTTTTTACCCCTTTTTACTCCTTTTCACTACTTCACCTGGGAGAGCCATACACGTGTTTGTAAAATTGGGGCTAGTCATGGAACCCCACCAAGGCACATTGTCTTGCACTTCCTGTGCATTTTGTTTGCAATAGTAGAGTAAAAGCAAACTAAGATATACAGTTATGGTCTGAATCACCTCTTCACATAATAGTATGTATGCCTTCTGCATTTAGCACAAGATGGAAAGACTCGGATGTACCCCCATGAATATGTGAGAATTCTGTCGTGCATGTGAGTGTAGTAAAAGTATACCCTCAGAAACTAGTTACTTGTCACTACTAAGACAGAACAACAAAGAGGTATTTCAGAAAGGCTTATAAATTTCTGATGGGAATACAACCCATTTATCTTTGAGGTAACAGCCTTCCCCAGTATTCATTAATAAAATATATTCATAGGCTGTCAGCAGCCCATGTTATAAAGATCGGACATTCTAAAGACAATGTGTATCTAACCTTAATGACTGCATTTGAAAGCTAGTCAGCTTCATAATCTTGATACTACTAATGGATGTGTGCTTTATATTCATGTTTTGGGCACATTATGAACAATAGTCTCTTGCCTTATCTTAGAGAACTGCAGGCTCAGTCCTGAACAAAGCAATGTTACTGGCATTAATCATCCTTTCTGCTATCAGTGACATTCTCAGATGGAAGCAATAGCCTGCCTGTAGATCTCATGGTCACTAGAGAAGAAGAATATAAGTCAGTGAACATAACAGACAGCTGGAACCAGAGTAGTATTTGTTGTTTTGTTATGAGTCATACCATTCAAGTCTTGTTGCTGTATGTTTCTGTTTACATGCTAACTTTGTTTATATTTGAAACAGTAACATCACTAATAGTCACTAAACTGAAGCATGCAGCATTTACTGATTTTTTGAAGGGCTGTGGTATTAGTTTTTCAGTTGTGGCCAGAGCCATCACAATACTATCAACTGAACAAAACTTTAATACATCATTATTTTCACCCAGCAAGAGGGGGGATCAAGATGGTTGTCTTCTGGATTGTTGTGCCATGTAATCTGATAGAAGTTTACTGACAGTTTAGAGTAGCAAGCACCTCTGAAATATCAGTAAACATTTACCAGACTATATAGTACAACAACCCAGAAGATGGCTATCTTCATACTCATCACCATGAGAACCTCATATCCTACTTAATCTAGAGCAGTGGTCCTCAATGCAGTGCCCGCCAAGGCTTTTTTTGGGTGCCCGCGTTGTTACGGAAAGAGGTTATACTGAATAATGAAGGCCGTTCAACCATGAAAATTATAAAATCAAAGCGCAGATCTCGACTTACTGACGCCCATCTTGACGATTGTTTTCGAACAGCAACATCATCCTACACTCCCAAATTTGAAAAACTGGCCGATGAAATGCAGTGCCAAACATCACACTAACTTCACACTTGAGTAATAATAATTGTACTTATAAAACTACGTATTTTTGATTGCATGGTTTCTTGTATCATTAAATGTCGTGTTGTTTTGTATATTATTTCGTGTCCATATCTTATTTGTCCAGAGAAAAGAAAATTTGGCTTTGTTAATTGGTTGGTGCCCGCCACGATCTCATAAACTCTCAAATGTGCCCATAGGCACAAAAAGGTTGGGGACCACTGATCTAGAGTTTAATTACCTACAGCTGATGCCTGTTGTACTGTCAGTTTCAAATATATAGTCCTTGATACTACATCATACAGAATTAAACTGAATAATGAAGTAAGGTAAAATATACAGAGTGCCTAATTATGAACAATCTCTGAACATGGTGCAATTTTATAAATTAAAGACCATAAAGATTTTAGTACTTGATGTAGCCACACTTCCCTCTACATCATTTTCCATGGAGGTCTGAAGGAGCATTTTCTGGGGTGATGGATTGCAAGAGGTTTGGAACAGACCATCTTGATCTGCTGGCCCTACTTACTCCACTACCCTTTTGCCTATGGGACTACATAAAAAATAATATTGAGTGTGGAAAATCAAAGAAATAAAGTGTCAGATATACTGTTAAACCTGTAACTCTAGACATATTCACTCAAGTGTATAAATAATTAGAAAACTAATGAGATGCATGTAGAGCAATGAAAAGGACATACTTCGCTAATAACATAAGTAAACTTTTATGATTACCCTTTTGTTTCATATTTTTGGCATTAATTGTTACAAAGTAGCCAGTGATTTTGACATAATTTTTGAAGATATATCAAATCAGTAAAACATTTTTGTTGTAATGGCATCCTTCAAGATGAGATACTGGAAGGATTATACTTACTGACTATACCATTGGTTTCTCCTCAAGGACAAAAAATGGGATTTGAAAGGTGGCCATATATTCTTTGAACACACAGCTCAGTGAAAGGTCACATATTTTTTAATAATATGTGGTGAGAAAAGTTTAAAATTAATTAGATTGAAAGGGTTAAAGTTTATTTATACAAATTACACCTATAATATTACTGATATAGGACCACTAGGAAATGAGATATAAAAGAGATTTAACTAAGTCAGGGAAAAGATGTACAGGAAGGTAAGATGCAAAGCTAATTTTAAAATGGGACTAGGATGATAGATTATAGGGACAGATTTCAGTTTACTCAGGAATGCATCTGAAAATAGGCTTTTGCTAAATAAGAAAGAGTACTGTCGATTTAATTTTCATTCTAGGGAACAACAATATGGAAGACACGAAGCCTTTTAGAAAAGTGTCTTCTAATACTTACTGCTACACTGCTGCTCCTTGTATTTGTTCTGGGAACATTACTCAGTGCCACAAGCAGAGAAGAGCCAGCTCTACAAGTGATACATGTAGGACCACATACTGCAGGTGATGAAAGTGAATAGACCCTCAAATTGTAGTGATGATTAACATCATTATTTGGTACTGGCTTTAGGCTAAATAGTCAGGTTTTATTCCCCAGAAGGGCCAGGATATTCTCTGCACTACCACATCAAGATCATTTGTAGATACTTCTAAGCCTCCCATCTAATCAGATTTTTCTGTATGCCAACGTTGAATTCAGTTGCTACAGAGTTTAAGAATGCATGAACTTAACCTTCACTTCCTTTGTATGTCTTTTTGGCATGGTGCTTAGGCACTAGTTATTGTTATATCATCATCATGATTGTTGTTCTTCCCTCTTTGCTCTTGTTGGTCCAAACTACTTGTTTTCTTTGTTTGAAATGCAAATGCTGTGTGTTGTATTTTTCAATCATTTATGGTATAGCATGATTTAAGTTGAATTATTCTTCATTGCCTTTTTATTGAAGGATTCTCTTACATAATGTCCACAACAGACCATACCTATACTGGAAAGGAAGAATAAGAAGAAGAAGAAGCCTATTTAAGAAACACTAGCAGAATAATTTAGTGTTGATGTTAATGGAGAAATTTGTTGAATTAATGATGAGAAATAAGCATGGACTAAAAATTTCATGGTAAACAGAATTAATAATGGTTAAAACTGGTGAGTTTTAACCATGTGACATGGCTGATAGCCCAAGAGGATATTGTTGATGAGAAATGATATCCCTGTCAGTGACATAATCCATGATGAAACAGAGATCTGAATTGTAAATTCTGTACATTGTTGGGTTTCCTTTCAAGACATAATCATATAGATTACACACACTGAACTTTCAGTAGACATTATCACTTCTTGAACTGATTGAAATAACTGACAGTTCAAGGACAATAAGTACATCAATTAGCTGTACTGTATCTAGGGTCAGTGGTGGCGACAGTATCGAAGCATGCAAAATGATAGAATAATGAGACTATATCTTTCTTATATAACTGAGAATAAGCATCACCAATAAAATATTGGTCGACATTGTCATAATTTATTGAATTGCAATATGATAATCAGTCATGATGTGCTGATCATGCTGTGCAGTTGCATTGATATAAATCTTGGAAAGGGACTTTGTTTCAGTAGCTAAAATTTAACATAATCTCTTCAGTTAGTACAACTGAAAAACAGTGGATACAAAAATTAAGAATAAACATTATGAAATAATATAAGGAGAGCAGAATGTTAAGAAGGTCACACAGCTAACTTATTGGTATTATGGATGATACAGTATTATAAAGTTCAAATGTGGGGTAGCCTATAGTGGCATCTTCCCACCATACTTCATTAAATTCTGTCAATTATTCAGAAGTTGCTGAGGAGCTGGACCTATAAATATGGTGATATAATTAACCTATCTTTCATAGCATAACAGTAGAATATAAATGAATGCATTTCAATGTGTGTTCATCTGTCTACTTGGAACTGTTTTTCTTAATATCTGTACATTACTTTTAGAGTTCTGGGATTCAGTCCCAGTGAAGTTAAACACATTTAAATGACAAACTAGTTTGGCAGATTCATATTTATGATTAATTCCTACAGAAGGGTAATGAATCATGACAAAGTGATTATAATTGATAAAATTATTAAAAGTAATACAGTAATTAAAAGTTGCTTTATTGTTTCTCCATAAATAAATAGGCTACAAATGAAAGCTTTAAATGATTGAACAGGCATTGTAGTTTCATATTTTACATTCTGTTATGCAGTGGTGTCCAGACCTGATAATATACATCTTTTTTGACTAATGTGCAGTCTACTTTTTGTTCCAGATGAACAATACTGTCTGACTGTCCCATGTGTAACGGCAGCTGCGTCCATGCTTATCTCTTTGGATATGAGTGTTAATCCATGTGATGATTTTTACCAGTATTCCTGTGGAGGCTGGGTGCGTTCCAACCCTATTCCAGATGGAAAGTCTATGTGGGGCACTTTTGGCAAGCTAGAGCAAAAGAACCAGCTAGTTGTCAAGAATGTTTTAGGTTAGTTCTCTTATTATTTGTATGTATTTTATGTACTTGATACATACAATTGAATAGTATTTTATTTAGAAAATAGGCGTTGTGTCAATTGTCTGTGCCAGGTGTAAATTTTTCACATCTTTCAACAGTCGTTGATATAATGGAGATGATAAAAAGAATTTCTGTGAGATAATACATAACGTTTCCTGTGGAACAGGAAAATGTTAAGTCTTTATGGGTTTTTGTCAGTAATGTAAGAATTACATCATTCCACATATGACTAAGAAGTATGTTTTCTGTTTCTCTTTAAATATAACCCAAATGAGTGAAAGGGAATTGTTACATTAATATGCAGACTTTTTATCCATATCAGAATTATATGATTTATTATCATGTCAAATTATTAATGCACCTCTATAGTACATAGCAATATAATAATAGTTTACACTATATTCTTCATACAATACATAACTGCACCAATTAAAGTGCCCTCAGTTTTTCATAGTTTTGCTTCTTGTATATGTGCAGGTTGTAGGTATACTTGTGCATACACTTGCATGGGTACGTGTGTGTTTGGACATGTACTCTGTTAAACTGACAGTGAATTATACTTCAATACACTAAGCAGAAGTACTTCAACATGTTATTCCCGTAAAAATTTAGACTGTCATTTCAGTTTTAAAGTGGCTATTGCTCTCATTTTATTAAAGAAATTTAACTTTCGTTTTATGTTTTCAGAGAAACCTTTTGTTGAGCTAAAGAGCAAAGCAGAAGAGAAAGCAAAAATGTATTACTTATCCTGTATGGATTCTAATGAAACAATTGAGGCTCTGGGAGCAAAACCTATGCTGAATTTGCTGAGAAAAGTGGGTGGTTGGAACATATCTGCTGTAGGTGGAAAGCCATTTAATGTTTCAGCATGGAATCTCCAAAATACCATCCAGGTTTTGCAGAATCGTTATAACATGGGAGGTCTGTTCTCATGGGCTGTCGGAGAAGATGACCGTAACTCTAGCAGACATGTAATACAAGTAAGAACATATCATGCAGTGTTTAACAGAATTCTTCTTTCTTTTATATTTAAGAGTTAGGAAGTTTAGAGAAATATAATATAGTTCTGTTTTATAGGGTTCAGGGAATGCTGAAAAAAATTATCCAGACATCTTTATATTTTCATAAAATACATTAACATAACCTCAATCTAAACTATATGTCACAGCTTATATGCAGCCCAGTTCATCTTGTGTCAGACTAGCATACCACTAAACTGTTACCCCAAGAGTTTATGTTTAGCTGACAGCCCTGTACTACTGAGTTTGAATCCCCTGTTCCTGGATGACAATGTATAGTGCCATTCACATGAGGAACCTGGTTTTACTTTTTCTGGTTTCTGTGATCCCATATTCTGGCACAAAAATTGACTCCTCTCATCATTTTAAACGTTATCATTTTAGCATATTAGACCTACAGTTATGTTTGTACTACTGTCAGGCAGACTGATACCTATCTCATAGTAATCTCCTTGATTAAACTGCCTTATTTTACCATATGTCATTGTAAGTATATTTTGGTCTTATAAACAAAGTTATCTCAGAAATACCAGCCACTTCTGCTCCAAATAAGTTTGGTATTTAATTAACAAAAAATACTCCTGCTTTTTCATCATTAATTTATATTTTCTATGTTCTTCATCAATTGAAGTTTATTGATAAGTTAACAAATGTTACTATATACAAACAAAAGAAGGCAAATTTAGTAAATACAATTCAGCATTAAAAACAGTTAACAGTTATATTGTATCTAACTGTATTGCCATATTTTTTAGTTAAATGTTCTGTATCTTATCTGGAGATGCATTAGACACTCTTTGAATCTGATGGTTTTACTTAATTATTGGTTCTGAACTTTCATCTCTTATAATCATACCTCAAATGATGAATTCATGAATTAAATAAGAATAATAAATACATGAGCAGTGCCACTTGTAGAAAATTTTATTTTATCATTATGAATGTTTCCAGAATTATGTACCATTACTACAAAAATGAACATGCTAAAAATTGGCACCAGCACACCAATTCTTGTAAAAATGGTTGTCAGACTATTTGTTTGTCTCAGGTTGTCACACTCTGTGACTAAAGTAACCTCATAATATACTACTTTTTATCACTTTAAATACTACAGTAAAAGCTACTATTTTTACAAATAAACCAGTAACCTTTGCACATAACGTTCACTACTATCCATCAAACATCATTCAGTGGCAGCAGGGTATTACCTTATGCATTCCTTTCATAACTTCAGTGACTTGATTCTGTTCTCTATCCCCTCACATTTGTTTTTCAAAAGCTTTTTGTAGATGGAAAAAACATTTGTCATAACGTTTAATAACTGTAAAAATTATGAGAAAGATTAGTTCTCTAATATCAAATCCTTTAAATTAATATGATGAAATATTTTTGTTGGTTGATTTATAGATTGATCAAGGAGGTCTGACACTTCCTACAAGAGACAATTATTTAAACAAAACAGCAAATGAGAAGATTCTAGCTGCATATCTGGATTATATGACAAAGGTAACTTGAAAGATTACGCACTGATTTTTTCTGCAGTTTATATTTTTGTGCCTTATTAGCTTCTTATAAAATATAAATAACCTTTATCATCAGGTTGAAGGCTGAGATTTTTTTATAATCACACACAGGTGTGTTTCGTAACAAATTTAGCATGTCTATTAGCCCTGCAAAAATTATTAGTTTTATAATCCATAGAACAAACATAAATCAACAACCTTCTTTTAGTCTGGAAAAATAACATTATAATAATATTTAAGTCTGCATTTCTAGATGTGAGCATCTCTAATGTGCACATATATAATTTTATTGTAAATATGTATTTACTTAGTAAATTCTAATGACGAAGATTCTTAAGGAGCCAGAAAGCTTTTAAATCTTTAACGTTTTATGACCTTATGCCAAGACACTTGAGAATTTTAATGGGTTTCTTTACTAGCTCTGCACATCAAATTTTAACCCAGTATGGATTATACCTCCTGTGGTTGTTGATAAGTAATAATAATAATAATTTATTTACATTCCGTGGATCCATAAGACAGTCAGATGACAATAGGATGTGGAAAAAGTCATAATAATAAAAATAATAATAATACAATGCATATTATAAAGTACAATTCGTACTATTATATAAATTTCACATAATACAAAACAAAGTATTCACCTAGAGAAATGATTAGCTACAAATAGATCTACCCATTATACACAAGAAAAATTTATCACTTATTTGTAAACAACATAAATTCATTGACAGAGTAAAAGGAGTGTGTAATTAAGTATCTTTTTAAGTTGGGAAGTTATTACACAAAGTCTGGTTTTCGTATCTGTGCATTTTCTCCACTTCAGTCAAAGTAGTGCTGTAAGGGATCTGGAATTAGAGGAACTGGACTTCTTTTTTACAGACATGTTACATTATGTAATGATGTGGTTTATGATAACATTTTATGGATTTGATTATTAAATATTACTTCTTCAGTTGACTAACTTCTACCATAAACTTAAGACAAACATGTTACATATGAAGATTACTGTCTTCTGGGATATTGTACCATGTATGCTGGTACAAGATTACTGACATTTCAGAGGTGCTTGCTGCTTCCATCATCAGGACACAAGTACTTTCCACTACAAAAACTTTAAATCCCACCATGTTCCATTATGACAAATTACTGCGTAGTAATTTGCTATAAATCTGATGAGATGATTATAGGTATGGTTATTACATTTTATTTTAAAAAAACAGGTTGATGCTATAAAACAGACACTGGCCTAGATTAGTTAAATACATGTATAGTAATTCATACAAAGTAATGTGTGATGCAGATTGGAGTTCTACTTGGAGGAGAGGAGAATTCAACACGTGCACAGATGCAGGGAGTGATTGAATTTGAGACACAAATAGCAGAAATCACTTCTCCTCCCGAAGATCGCCGTGATGGAGAAAAACTTTACCATCTTATGCCTCTTAGTGAAGTCCAAGAAATGGCTCCCTTTGTAAGTGTTTTTGTAAAGAATATTGATGAGGAAGCCCTGGAAATTTTAATTCACATTTAGTTACAGTATAAGCTGATACATCCATTGCTACAAAAATATTTGCTGTAGTTTTGAAGAACTGCAAGTTTTATATTAACATATCAGAAATGTAATATATAGGTCTATGTAAGTGCCTTTGTATATAAGTGTGTGTTTCTAGTCTACAGAAGTGTAAAGGAATAATGGATATATTGCTTATACTATTCAGTTGAAAGTACTGTAAAGTTGAAAAATCTAGTCTGGTCAGTTTGTGGTTGAGTTTAGTGCAAGAATGCCATGTGGCATGGGTACTCGCACATCGATCGAAACTTGCATCCAGTGATAGCTTGCAATTAGGTCTGTTATTTCCAAGAAGCAAAGAACTGTGGACCAATGGTAATAAAGGCTGTCATAATCAACAAAATTGAGTTGTCCCTGCTACTCTAGGGGCTGACCATTCTCTAGAATAAATGTGAAAATTTTTATATAATTATAGTTCATTTTCTGGATTTGGACAAAGTAGTTCCAAAAAACATAACATTCAAACATCTCAGAAAAATAATTTAGATTAGATTATATTAATGTTAATAATATAATTTCAATCTCTGTTTAGCTTTCCCATGATATTTATTGAGGCTTAGTCCTGTCAACCATCTAACTGACATCAGTTTCTTGCTGGTATCTGTCAAACAATTAAGTTAAAAAAATTGCATTCAGTCTGTCTGTTGCGTTTGGTGGTGTCACATACAAAGAAAACTGGAAAGAAAGTAAAGATGACAGTAGATTATTTCTGTGCTTTATCAAAAACATTAGTATACATTTCATGGACTCACCAATCTGAAACATTCAAACTACAAATCTTCAGTGAATGAAAGTTCATCAATAGTGCCTTGTACTGCTTTACTAGGTGCATCGCTCGAATCACTGTTCTGACCATGTAATTTAATGTTACGCTGTTAAGACTGCATGAACATAATTGGCTACAGGCAAACTTGCAACCACAGTGAGAGGCACAGCTAGGTTGAAGGCAGTGTACATCACTATATATGAGAAGTATTATAAGAGCATTATATCGGACATAGTCCGTTGTCTGAAGTGTTTGATGTAAACAGTGTTTCAGGAGTTGTCTATGCTCCCATCTTCAGGCATTTGGTTGGCATTTCTTTCTTTACAGTATTAGTGACAATGGTCAATAACAAACTTGAGACCTTTTGTACTGAATACTAGACTAGTACACTAGGGTAGCCCAGAAATGGTGGTAGTTTACTCTACTTAATAAACATCCAGTTTTCCTATTCCTGGAATGTTATGTATATCAAATATACCTCAGACAATAGACAATGTGCAACAACATAGTGCTCCTGTAATGAATTTCCATTTGTTACAAAACTTCAGAGAATCATGCACAGTGACTGTCTATTATGAATTTCCAATACTACCAAAACTCAGGAGTCATATTCATTGATATATACAGTGGTAGTTTAGTTTCTTTAACATTTGAATTTAACTAAGTATAATTTTGCTTTTATGAAAATAAAATACCCAGTATGTCAGTATAAGATGAAGTGGACTGTATACTGTTACATGTGCGAGGAACATAGTGAATCATACTTACTATTCGGTTGATTACATGATAATGTGATTGTTAAACATTGGTTAGGTTCTGTAAACAAGGGATCTTCCTCTTTATCTTCAGAGATGTTTCACTTTATGTGGGTCATCTGCTGTCACAAAATGGACAGAATGTGTCTTTACTGAGGTCTGATTAATTCATTATGGGTTACATTATTCAGTCATGTACTTTGTTCACTTTATTCACTTAATGATATTACTGGATGCATTATGTTTGGCCTGGGTTTTTATGTAAGGTAATTCATTTGAAGTCACATTCTAGTATTATTTTGATAATGCATATCACTTTCTTTATTAGCATGGAAACAGAAATAATAATTGATTAAAATAAAGAATATTTTACTTTTAAATACAAAAATGTACAACCAGTGCAGAGAGTTTTGCATGTTAGTTTTGACTTTTTATGGAGTTTTCACATAGTAATATGAACTCTTTTTCCTAAATTAAGCATTAAATATACGTCTGTGAAAATACATCCTACGCATAATTGGAATTTATGATGCAAACATATGTTGAAACAAATGATTATTAACAAACTGATGAGTCTCTAATATCGGTGCTTCATGTAGAAGAAATGAGGAATGATCTGAGAACAAAATTGTGGAATGGTTTTCACTGCTTTGAATAAAATAATTTAAAAGAAATAAAAGATAGTTTCATATATAATCTAGGTTTGGTCACCATGCATCGGCCTGAAGTAGATATTCAAGGATTTTAACAGTATTTTTGTATTAGATGCTGTAATTGCAGAAGTGGTGGATAGAGCAGTTTAGTTACTTTCTAGAAAGTTTAATTGGAAATAATTACAGTGCATGACTTGACATTGTACTATGCTTTGTTTTATCATAACACAAATTGTCATGCAGTGTAACAAAGGAATAAGAAGGGGGGGCACGGTTATTAATCAAATGAAATTATAAAATTATCAGTAGGATGCATTTTCTTTTATTCCTAGAAAAGAACATGGTGGCAACATACACCAATAAACCTTGTGCTTCATAACATAGTTTTGTTTCTGTAAGCATTGCATTAATTGATATATTTATATACACACTTTATTGTGATGAAGTTGATCTTTCAGCATGTTATAACAGCAGTTAATTAAATTGAAATATGTCTGTGTCTGTTTTTGGCTATACAGATGTCGTGGCAGGAATACTTCTCAGATGCAATGCGTACATCACAAAGGAAAGTAACAGGCAAGGATATGGTTGTAGTGTATGCTCCTGAGTATCTTGGAAAGCTGTCAGCAATTGTTACTAATTATACCCTCACAAGAAAAGGGAAAATGTGAGTGCAGTCACTGACATAAGCAAGTTATAAAATGTAAATGACAAAATACAGTGCAACTAGTCATTTACTTCAAAGATGACACAGAAAGATCCATTCTCTGTGTGTAAAATTATGTCTTACTTCTGTATGAATATGCCATGAGCATTTTTCTGTCATTTCTGTTACTACTTCAACATTAGTCTCATATTTTTGTGTTACTAATTTTATGATAGCAAAATGTAAAGGTTCAATACTGATAATACCAAAACCCACCGCTGATCTCAGTCCTGAACCAGTTCCTTTCATCTTCCCATCTTCTCAACCTGTGTCCCTGGAAATGAAATTTCATACTTCATAAAAAGTGGAGAATATCTTGACTAGCTGAGCAATTACTAAATACTCAAGGACTCTGCTCCATGGAAATAATTAATGTATTTTTGTTGGTATTAATTATTGTAATGTGTGTGTTACAAGAAATATTTCAGTACCTCATTCAACTTACAGTAAGCATTAATAAAACTGTTTTTGTTTTAGTTACTAGTGGAAAGTACATGTAAATTACAGGTTATTGCTTAATTACTTGGTTTTGTTTGTCTCATATAGTAGTAATTAGAAACTGGACAACCCACATAAAGTGGAAATGTCTTAGGAGGAAGAATAAGTCTGTAGTAGCAGTGTAAGTTATTTGTTTATTAGACCTTATGTGATATGCTTTTCTTTTTTCTCCAGTATTTTGAACAACTATTTGGTGTGGCAGACTGTGCGCAGTTTAACTGCGTGCCTCTCAAAAGCCTTCCGAGATGCTTACAAAGGATTGCGTAAAGCTCTGGTTGGCTCTGAAGGTGGGGAAGAGCCGTGGAGATACTGTGTTACTGATACCAATAATGTGCTTGGATTTGCTATTGGAGCTATGTTTGTCCGAGAAGTATTTCATGGGAATTCCAAACCAATGGTAGGTAGGAATGTTAATTATTCAGTTTGCATGTTAGCTTCGGTGCATAGAGTACAGGTAGCCCTCGATTTACGCCGGGGATGCGTTCCTGGCCGAACCGGCCTAAACTGAATCGGCGTAAATTGAAATTATTTTATAATGTAAATCAATGGGAAGTCAATGACATGCGTTCTCAGCACCCAAACATTGACGAGTAATATAATGGCGTTACATTCAAAGCTCTGAAATAACGTAAATAAAATTAAGGGAATTTAAAATATATATTTTATACACTTACAATCGGCAATTCGTTGGTTCCCGCGATTGACTGCGAGTCTTTCATATGATTGATGTGTACAGTCACATCTGCTGTTATGCGATAGTTGCATTTATGTAAGAAAATCCCGTAGTAAAAATAACCCCGGTACCTCCGCAGAGATCAAATTAGCCCTTTGAAAGTTTAAAGCGCCAGGAATGAAATTGCATAAGAGTAAACTCGGATATGCAAAAGTTTGAATTTCACAAACAGCTTTTACGTAATCGCAGAGATGACTGTATTTATAATTTTTATTCAAAATCAGCAATGTAAGAATTACGATTTAGTATAAGAATCAGTACGAGATACATTGTAAAATGTTATAAATAATAGTAAAAAAAATTAACTTTTTGACTTGCTGGTTTCAAAAATCGGCGCTATTGTGAATTGGCGCAAATCGAGTGCTACCTGTATATCAAAGTGATTGTTATAATAAATGAATGAAATGATTAATCACATTCATGGTTGTAGAAATCAATGAGTGGCAAAATATTTGAAGGCAGATAAGTTTAGTCTTAATTTAAATTGTAAATTGTTTTATTGTAATATTAAATTCTTATGTTTTGTATATTCATGATACAGTCAATGAAATCCTTGGAAGGCAACATGCTGCCATTTCTGATGTAACATAATTATTAATAAAGCTATACAAAGGCAGTAAGTTTATGTTTCTTGAAATTTAGCTTTGTCTGACTCCAGCATCTTTCAGGAAAGAGCTTGAGTAGTGGTATGTGTGATATTAATACACTGACAAGTATATGCAATACATAAATGAAAACCCAGATATTGGAAGTGAATGTGTTAAAATGGAATTCTGCTACTTGCCTTGTTAATGCTATCAGTTAACTTGAAATTTAAACAAAAATATGAAATAACATGAAAGACAAGTCCATTATAAATTACATAATCTAAATTTACAATTTGGAAGTTGTTCATTAAATATAATTAACTGCAGTCAGATACGTGATTGATCGCTCAGCACTATGTATGGAGGCAAAATGTAAATGATAACTAATATCTTGTTAATTTGCTTCTGTTTAGAAGTAATTTTAGTATGTGGTTTTATTCATATACTGAATAGTAGTTTGCAAGGGTAGTCAAATGCCTGAAGATGGACAAAATAAGTCTGAAACATGTCACCTAGAAAAATGTATCATATAGACATGTAATAAATGAGTGCATGAGTTTATTTATTTGTCGTGTGGAGGACACTTAATAATGTTTAGTTATATCCATAATGTGACATTCCAACATAACCTCTTCTGTTGTATATAGGAATATAATAATGGTGTTTTGAATTAGGTTATGTGAATAGTATATTTGTGGCTTCTACTTTCTTGCTTTCAGAGTAATGTGTATGGACATGTTTCATGTAATACTATGTCTTATTTTACAAAATGGTAATTTACTTACTTGCGATCACCAATTTTGCTCAGGCTGAGGAAATGATCAATGAAGTGAGGAATGCATTTAAGAGTAACCTTCAGAACCTCACATGGATGGATACAGAGACTCAAGAGGCAGCTAAGAGTAAAGCAGATGCCATCACAGACATGATAGGTGAGTGTCTGCATGGTCTTTCAAGTAAAGTAGCCACACTTATTTTGGTGTTTGTAGTAGAATCAAAAAATTTATGTACTTCACTATATTGGTTTAGGTGGGTTTCACTGCTTCCTTCTACTATCACACATTCCTGTCAGTGGATATACCACTGCTGGAAGCACTGTTTCTAGTCCTTTCATGTGCCCTCCTTAAGTTCCACCACCATCATAGCTTCTTTATACTTACCAAAATTTTTGCCACTTAATGAGGGCTTTCATGCTTTAGAAAAGGCAGTCTCATACAGGTTCTGTATCTGGAGAACATGAAAGTTTCAGAAGCACAGTGATCTTAATTTTGGTGTACCAAAATAGATCGACGAGCTGTTACATTATCATGTTTGAGCAGCCAGCTTCAGTGGACAGCAAGAATGTCTCTGCATGTTGTTGGCATTAAGGTTTACTGGAATGAACTTGTGAATGATGCCCAGGCTACTGAAGAACAGTTCCAGCACCACCTTCCCTTCTGAGTGATCTCCATGAAATGTCTACTTCCTGGTTGATGAGACTGATTTGCAGTAATGAGGTTTGATATATGGCTTGTGGATTGAGAAGGTAGCACCCATACATGTCCCTTATCATATATCATAATCATATCATAAATTAGTGAGAATGTCTTGCCAAGCCAATACACAAATCATCCAGCTGTGCCAAGTTCTGATGTTAATAAGATTCATTGACTGAATACACATGCCGGATCACATTTCTTCTTGCTGTCTGTCCATGTATGCATATACTTAGTTGCTGACGAAAAGTTCACAAACTACTTGACTACCAGATGTGTAGCAAACATATTTCTGTTTCATGGATCTGACATAAAACATTATTTGCAGAGAATTTGACTTAAATTATATTTAAAAACAGGATTCAGGCTTATGAACATATACAATCATTGGAAGTACCTAGTACTAGAATTTAAATTATTTTTTTATGAACAGAGAATAACTTACTGTTGTTAGCTTTTTAAGTATGTTTCACCTCGCATAGCTGAAACTATATTGCTGGAGGAAGATATGCCCTTGAAGTGTAGATGTAGTAAATTTCTTATACAAATCAAAATGTGATGGAAATCTTCAAATTTTATTTCCAGGTTTTCCAAATTATATCCTTAACCCTGATCAGCTGGATGATAAGTACAAGGATTTAGATATTCGTCAGTATGAATACTTTGAAAACAACCTACGTGTGAATCAGTATAACTTACGTCGTAATGTGGAGAAACTTGACCAGCCAGTGAACAAGACCAGGTACAATTTCATTGTATTACATTGGAGATGACTAGTGCATTTATCAGTCAGGTCACACAAAACACATTAAGTTACAAAGTTCATAATTACATATTTTATAAAACATGTAGTACTATCATTTGTCTAGAAATCATGGTACTACTTCAGTAATACACTGGTACACCATTAAAAATGCAGAACACAATGAAAAAATATAATTTACTGGCTTTGATTATTATGGTATCACTCAGAGTACATATAAATATTCTGTTATTTAAGTGGAATAATATGTTACAGAAAATCTGTGTCAAGTATTGTTTCTTAGTATCAGAGTTTGACATCATTACTAGTCTGTCTGAAGAAAATTTTCTATGTGAAGATATTTACGATATTTTTTTTAGCAATATCCAATAGACAGCTTCACATTTGTAGTTGTTTTATATCCAGATTACTCTTCCATAAATCAATAAAATTCAAATCAATTTAACCAACAGGCAAAGACTGTCAAGCCTGGTGTAGGGTTATCAGAAATTAATGAGGTGGTCTCCATACATTTCTTCAAAATTTGTCCCTTTGTTTTTGAACTTATAGTCCATATTGAAATTACTTTTAATAATATTATCTTGTGGTTTAGGTGGGGCATGACCCCGCCAACAGTGAATGCCTACTACACACCGACCAAAAACCAGATTGTATTCCCTGCTGGAATATTACAGGCTCCATTCTATGACATTGATCATCCACGATCACTAAATTTTGGTGGCATGGGAGTTGTGATGGGTCACGAGCTCACCCATGCCTTTGATGACCAAGGTAACCATCACAATTACTAGAGTTATTAACAGGTTTTATTGAGATGGACAGATTATAATGATGAGATTATCACACTGGTGAAGATGTTGATTGTGATTTCTGTCTTATGATGCTGCATAGATTTGTAGGTGGTTACAAATATTTTGGTGAAATGTACTGCCTCCATCTTCAGGGTAGATCACCATGATGAGAACTTCAAACAACCAACGTTTTCTCCACTGTAAGAACCTTATATCTCAGATACACTTGTATGGAGGGGTAACACTATGCTTAGTTTAATGACTAGAACCCTGAATTGTTTTTGTGGGAATGTCTCACGCATCCATCATGCAGTCTGGAGCCTGTGCCCTATAATTTTCATGTCTTTGGCTCAGTAAAGAAGCCATAATAATATGTCATGAGGTGCACTTGTGGTTGCAAATATTTATTTATTTTCAAAGGATTGAACAGGATAAAAGAGGGTTTGTTTATTGTTCCTTGTTATTTTTTAAACTTATTTATTAAACAGTGCTCATACATGATTTTATAAAATGTAAAATTACTCACATTTGCACCTGTAGTTCTTTTAGTGTTTTTATTTATGACTTAGAGCAGTAAAATATTATTCGTTTTATGTGATCACAGTGTATTAGTTTCACTTAATTTCTTTCAGTACTGCTCTCTTTTTTAGTTTTCAAGTTGTAGAACAACATTGTGTAAGTGATGGAATTCCTTTCCTTCAGGAAGGGAATATGATCAAAATGGAAACCTGCACCAGTGGTGGAACAACAAAACAATAGCAAAATTTAAGGAGCGCACTGAATGTGTTGTGGACCAGTACTCAAATTATGAAGTCAACAACAAACACTTGAATGGCAGACAAACTCTAGGTATGAACAACATTCAGCAACATGGTATGACTGACTGGTATTAACATTTGCAGTAGTAACTAGTGAGCTTGTACACTTTTCTGTTCAAGATGCATTATTGTTAGATGATTGTCTTCTGGGTTGTTGCACCATGTAGTCTGGTAAAATTTTACCGACGTTTCAGAGTTCATCGCCCTGATGATGGAGGCAGCAAGGACCTCTAAAACGTCTGTAAACTTCTACCAGACTACATGGTGCAACAACCCAGGAGACAACCATATTCAGACTTACTGCTGTGAAAACCTCAAATCTTGCATTATTGTTACATTAAAATTAGTTGTATGTATGTTTGTGTGTGCATATGCACAAAGTGGCAGCCATTCCCTTTTCTTGTGGGGGATTCAGAAACTACAATGTTATTTTACCAATCCAAGAATCAAAAAACTTTTTAAACATCTGACCAAAACCATTAGTGTATTCTGAACTGTTATAACCTTGAAATCTGAAGATTTATGATGGTGTGTTGTAATCTGTAAAACTGTTTCTTTTACATTGTCCATCGTCTAAATTACAAATAAAAATAAAATCACAACGTTTTGGAAGCTGACTTCTGCTTCGATCCTCAGGTAAAATGGAAGAAGACAGGAACCCTATCTGTTTGGCCCCCTACTTGAGTTCAGTAAAATGTTTCTCATAAACATTATCATATACTCCTTTAATTTAAAAAAGTGTGTTACATTTTTGTACGTTTTTATTGTGAAAATATAATATCTGTGTATTAATTATTATTTTTTAACCAGCTAATTATTATTAATCATTATTTTTGAAGAAGAAAATACACCTTCATGATAATCGTAAGGGATTAATTTCAGGAGAAAATATAGCTGACAATGGAGGCTTGAAGGCAGCATACCACGCATATCTTAAGTGGGCATCTACACATCATGAAGAACTACCAATACCAGGTCTAAATCTTACTCACAGACAACTCTTCTTTCTTAGTTTTGCACAGGTAAGTAAAGGAGAGAAATAGCTTTTAGGAAATAGTGTTCTAGTGTGTGCATGCACTCTTACATGTGCCAAATATTATTAGGATGATTAAGTCAAGGCAGGTGAGATTGGTGGGGCATATAGAATGCATGCGGCTATGATAAAATAATGCAAAATTTTTGTCAGGAAATATGAAGGGTAAAGGATTTTTGAGAGATCCAGGCATATTTGTCCTAAAAAATTACTTGTGTAATAAGGTTGTATGTTGGATTCGTCTGGCTCGGAATAGGATCCAGTGGCCAAGTATCAGCTGCTGGACATGGACTCTGTTCTATGTAGTTAATTATATATTATTTGAGCAATGGAACAATGTACACTATTGCTGTAATAGTGACGCTTTTATAATGTACTAAACTACTGAAGGAATATCTGCTAGAATCATAAATTTTTTTATAGGTATGGTGTTCCTCTAGTACAGATGAGGCAACAAATTTGCAGATTGAGAAAGACCCCCATTCACCACCTCAGTTCCGTGTTATTGGTCCTCTATCTAATCTGCCAGAATTTTCCCAAGAATTCTCCTGTCCGGTTGGATCCAAGATGAATCCAAAAAATAAATGTGAAGTGTGGTAAACAGCACAACAAAAAATACAATATTTATGAAGGAAGTGGTGATATAAAGACATCTGAGGTATTTTAAAAATTGTCACAGAAGAAAGTAGATGAAAATTATTTTTAAAATAATATAAAAACAATAAGGCAGATAACAGAAAGGACAGTATAAATGTTGTTATTGGTCTCTGCAAGTTGAATGTTTGATTTTGACGGTGTATTATTTTGGTTTTGGAAGATGGTGTCTGAGCTCTCTTTTCATGTCATGGCATAAAAAATATTGCAGTACTCTCATCATCATAGATTACATTTCTTTCAGTTTGTTCTTAAAGATTCTACCATGATGGATGATGTACCATCATTAGTTTCCCATACCAGGATGTGTAAGAATACCTAAGAAACTCTCAGTATCTGATGCCAACAAAAACAATATGCATTTCTGGTGTATCATATGCAGTAATACAGCCATGGGTTACTTCTCATGCCTAATAGGATCATTTTAATGCAGATTTGTTGCATCACAGGAGGACTAGAACCTAATTCTTTATCACATTCTTTTGTTGTAATTAATGTGTCAGCTGTTAGGGAATGGATGGGTTGATGATGATCAGTAATGCATTTAAGGCAAAGCTTATTGCACACCTTTTTCTTTTTATAATATCGTTTTCTTTTCAGCAGCTCAAATATATGTTGAGTTCTAAATGATAACTGAAAATGTATGATGTAAATTACTGCAGATATTACCAAAATCTTTGTTGGTTTTTCAATACTACCTAAAATGTTATTGTCCATTTTGGAGAATTAAATGGTTTATATTATTCAGTTAGATTTTTCATATATGCTCTTCTTTGTTAACTGTAAACAATAACCAACGCAGAAAATATTTCACTCTATGAAATAACATTACTTCATTAAAATTTTACATATATTCATAAGAAAGCAAAATGTTTTCAAGCATAGTACATTATGGGAAAAATATAAATGTCTTAAGGTATGAAGAAAGTTCCCTCAGATCTGAAATTACCTTTACAAAAGGTGACAGAAGTTTAGATCTTTACATTATAATGTTGATTTTACATTACAAGTATGTGTTACATGTTTTAAGTAGATCTGAAGTATTGAACTTATTTTTAGTCTTTCCACATGAATAGTGGGGTGTATGTACTGGAAACTGTATTTGTATTATATGCGTCTGAAGACACCTCACATACTGACTTTCTTGCAGTTTCTGCTGTACTAATTCACAAGCCTCTTAAATCAGTTGCACATTAAGGTGAAACAGGCATATTTAGTAGAGAGAATAGTATTGTAATTGGAACTTTTCTTTTACTGAGATGTTTACTTGCACAGTTTAGACCAGACACAAAACCAAGTGATGAGAACCATCAAATGTGTTTTGGTTAAGGAGATATGGTCCAGATTGCTTTAAAATTTAGGCAGAAGAAAATTCAGTCACTTTGTGTACAGTGTACTGGTACTTCATAAACATTGCTCTCTGGTTGTCAAGAATGTGAAAAGTAGGGCATGTGCTAGACATTTGAATCCATGGAAGTTACAAACATTGTTTCAAACTTCACTGTATTTTAAAAGATTTGAAATTCCTGGAAGCAACTTACAGTTACATTACAATCTGATAAATTAAAAGATTAAACAAACATTCAGTTTTACCATGTTTACACTACTGACAGTTCTGAGTTCCTTGCACAGTTGTGCTGCTTCGCCCTACTAGTGATCACACATTCTGTTTACATTAAAATTCTTTTAATTAATCAGTTGTCTCTTCGCCATCAACTCTATGATTGCATACACCTCATATTTAATTACATTTTTGGATACATACAGTCCATGACTGTAATCTTGAGACTTGCAAGGAATGCAGTAAGTCCGTAGCGTTAAAGGCATACACTATCTTTCCTCCTTCCTCCTTCACCCCACTTCCTCATCCCGCAAGTCTCAAGATTACAGTTGCAGACTGTAGTAGTTTCAGATCAAAATGTAATACCGATTATAAACTTCATTTGTACTTAATTAGTAAACAGAACACATAACAGAAAGATGACTATTTCCCGTTCAATCTTGCAGTGACTGCACAAATCATTTTTCATTCTCTGGATATTATGATAATCTTTCCAGATACATTCTACCACTGTAATCATTCTAAAATGCACAGTGTTCTCAGATCCTTTCTTAATTATAAAATAAATTTGTTTTTTGTAGCAGTACCACTGAAATGTGTGTTAATGAGATATTCCTTTGTGCATTATAGGATGAGCCATGTAGATAAATGTTCTAGTCATTACGTTGTTTATTGCTTTATGTTACTGCTATGTATGGCATACTTTGTTACAGATTTTATGAATACGTGAAACCAGATTTTGAATCTTCTAAAAATTGTTTCTGTTTGTGTTGTTTTGTTCTGTATTTTAATGTTCTACTCCTTTTCTGCAAGTCTTTTAAAGATGTTACAGTTGTAAATTGACTACAGAATATGTGACTGTGGCCTACTTATTGTATGTACTACATTATTACTTTTCTGGAGGAATAAAGGAAATAAGAGCATGATAGGAAAGGTAAAATTATAGATCAAAAAAATGCCAGAGTGTATTTGATTTGCTATGTTTTAAAAAGGTAAAAAGTTACCAATACCAAAGAATTAACATTTTTGTAACATTTTAGCATCTTTTCTAACATATAACATACTTGAAATTGAAATGTTTTAGAAGATACAGTGCAGTTTATAGTTTTCCATTTTATTAATTGCTGTACAGAATTTGAATATGCTGACTTCTACTGTTATTAGATATAGTTTTACATACCTTGCATTCCATTTGGACACTGCCTTCTTCTTTACTTCATAGTCCTCTCAAGTACATCTTGTACAATAACAGTTGCTAAAAATAGGAACTGAATAAATCAGCAAATAGACCTGATCAGAAAATTTGTGTGATATGAAGGATGGTCTGTAAGTAAAAACTGCTATAAAACAAAATTAAATAAATAAATACCTATTTTGTGACCTTCAGACAGATTTTATTTCATATGAATTTTGTCACAGTGCACACAGTTCACTAGACTTCCAGGAATTCATGATGAATTACACATATAGAAAATATGTGAATTCAATTTTGTATTTGTTGCTGAACACCTGGGAAAATAATACAAGACTGCACTGTGTTTGATACAAAATATATGATGATCATATTTTGCTGATAACAGTTTAAGTCAGCTTTGTGGTCTATAATGGTAGTCGTCTCTCATGGTTAATTAAAACGTGAACAGTTTTTAATATAATGTTATCTGAAACATGTTTGCGGTTTTCATGGCAGTGTTAATTAGTTTACTTTGGAGACATTTCTTAATGTTTCAGATAAATTACAGTATTTGTGTTCAGGATATAAATGATTTCTATGATTGAGCTGGTCATTTCCTCCGAGATGTCTGATGTTTCTTTTCAAAACAGAACAACACTGTGGCCACTCAGACTTGTCAAGTCACCAGCTTCTAATTTTCTGTCTTGTCTACAGTCGGATAACTAGTCATAAGTACTGGTGTTGGTCTGCTATGAAATTCTACATGGGTACCATTATGAGAATCATACATTTCATCATGTGTTGTAATGAAGTGTTAGCATTTACACTTCACATTCAAGAGGTCTCCGATTTAAATCTCTGCCTGAAGATAAGGTAACCTGGCAGGTTTTTGTAATTTTCTTCAGTTAACCCAAATGCTGGATTAGTACCTTAAATTAGGCTACAACTACTTCCACGTGCTTTTCAGTTCATTAATCTTCCTGTTATTTGACACTGTACTAGATGGTGCAAAAAATTAAAGACAATGGTGAAAATGAATAGCTGAGCAGATGTGAATGAAACTCAATGTTGTGTACGAAAGTATTTATTCAGTTTGAAGTTTCATTCATATATATTGAGCTGTTCACTTTTACTGTTTCTTATAAAAGCATCAGATTTGTGCACCACCTGGTATAACCTGAAGAATTTCGAAATTTATGTTCTAAATTTCATATATGTAAATACATTTTTCTTTTATAGATAATTATCAAGCTTACATTCATTTAAAATATGAACAAATGTATATGATATATGCTACCATAATGTAACTAAGTTCCACCACATGTTTATAGAAAGCTACTGTCTGGTGAATGGGACCTACACATTGTGAGATTTCAGGTTCTTGCAGCTTTGAAGATGACGGTTGTGGTCTTATGGGTCATGGTTAAACCTGGGGATAGAGGCAGTATGTTCATCCAAAATGTTGGTTTCTACTGACAAGACTACATGGCATCTCAACCCAGAAGACAATTGATGGCCTCCAAATTGTGTTCTACTCCTGTTCCCTCTCCTCCACCTTGATTGCCAAAACATCTGAATTCTGGTAATTGCGAGCAATTGCAAGTATTATTTAACATAATAACTCTGACCTTCATCTCCATATAACTGTGGGGTTAATAATGAATGCATAGTGCTGTATCTCCCTACTTATGTGTGCTTTAATGACATATTAGGCAAATGGGGAAACTTTGCCTTTATCTTATACAGTATGGAACGATATGAAAAGCAGAGAACTAGGAAGGGAGGGGGAATAAATCTATCCACTCATGGAACTTCCATAATGAGAGGGAAACGGGCAGACTATATGGAATATGTGATGAAATAGAGTTCCTTATCATAACATCATCTTTTGTTAAAATGTTTTAACAGTTTTTATAAACATAGTTGCAAAATATACTATAACATTGAGAAGTTTAATACAGTCAGCTGTGCATAAGTGACATATTTTACTGTTCCTATTTTACAGACCTGAGTGATCTTTCCAGAGTTAACATTTTCTGATGCATATTATCAATTGACTAAAATGTCCTATTATAGAATTCATTGCTCCTGAAATTTAAGTGGTCATTTCAAACAGAGATGGTGCATTGCCTAGGTGAAGAGTTATAACAGCTCTCTTTGAGGGGCATAATGTTCATATCTCTTTCACATAAATCGTGATTTGGTAACATATTTTTGTAGCAATCATTAATAGCATTTCATTACATTTGCAGTATAACTTTCAATAAAAATGTCCATTTGCTGAAAGCAAGGAATTAACATTACATGACAATGTCACTCCAATATTTCAATTCACATATTGATTGATGACATTTTTATGTTCTAAATCTTTGAGGAGGAACTATTATTATAATGCTACATTTATGATACAGGTCCACAGCTGTTCATTTCTATAGTCAATATTTTTGTTTCAGTGTATCAATATTTTTGTTTCAGTGTATCAATTTATTATGAAGTTAAAGTCCTGGTTTGTCACAATGTTAATAATGAATGTATGAAAAGACAGCAGTTTAATCAAGGCCTATACTGAGGCCACAGGAGAACGATCCATGGATTGATCCCATCCACATCTCCCTCACGCTGTTATACTTCCCACTTCATGTTCCTCTACATTCCCCTCCAGCCACTTAGCCATTTTTATAGGAATTTTGGTAGTGATAACCTTCACTAGTGACAGTTGTTTTGGGTTGGCTGATAGGCTGGAGGGGCCGAGGGAAGCCTTGAGCATCTTCATCCCCACCACCTATGAGACTTTTTCTTCTTTCTCAGAACAAATGCAGATTTTACAGATGCTGCTGATAAAGTCAACCTCAATTCTAAAAATAGGTTTGAGAAAGTTATGTTCCTGAGAGATGTTTTATCATAACAGAACCCAAGGGAGACTTTTCATGCCATTAAAAAGACAATTTCTTGGAGACTCATCAGAAATATTCCATCCAGGCTCTCCATCTGCATGTGCCTCTAGAATGTTAGTGAAGCCTTCAGACTTGAGGTTGTGTTATTGATATAATGAGTGCATCAGTAGGCATTCTAATGTGTGTTCCAAATTTCACAGTTTTGTGTGCTTGCTGATAATAAAGCTAGGCAAGAAGTAATCATAATGGAAACTGTAAAAGCAATTTTTAAAATTTAGTAAATCAGAGGTGTATGTTAAATATAGACCACCATCAGTATATATAAGTATTTTCAGAGATATAGTTTTCTTGCCAGTATAACATGAATGTTAATCACTTAACTGCTTTCAGTTATGTTGCTGAAAAAGTGGACTTTTAAAATGTGATATTGTATACATACTGTCTTGCAGTCTGCTCTTTTCCAAAGCAGGATTTTCATCAGAAGTTCAATATTTATCTGTATAATATTTGTATCAATAAAAGTGGAAACGTTTTGATGTCATATTTTCATGTGTCAAAATGATATCAGTGTATATATTAATAATACCATTTCTACCTCAGAAGAGTAGGAATACTATTCAATCGATGGACTCACTACCTTTGAAGCCCTAAGCAAAATGGAGTGCCTCTTTGGAATATATATAGTAATATATGAGAAATAAGAACTCACTCAAATGAAGCCTTGCACTTTTGGGAAACAAGTACTTTAAACCTGTCAAAATTCAACACTCTTGTCACCACTTCTAATTATAATGTATAAACAGAAATACATAGTTAAAATTCAGGGAGACAAGAGAGTTAAGACACTGTCTTTGTTACTGATACCTAGAGTCTGTTTGATCCATCACACATGTTGATACCATCCAACACTAATTTTCACTTTTCTCGAACAGCATAATAGAAACTTAACACATTCTAATGAATAATCAGTATTTATATAAACATGCACTATTTTAGAATCCCCAGATTTCTGTGACAGTTATCATTTCCATGTTTATAGATGTACGAGCTTTCTTGCAGTTTTTAATATTAATAACAGTTAGTATTGCTCTAAGAAAGGAGAGTGGACAATTATTTTTAAACAATAAACAAATATTTTTGAGGGAGTTAGAAAGATATAAATAATAGGTTATTATTATTTATAAGTGAAAGCTGCCATGTTAGAGTTTAGAATATTTAATAATAAAATTTATATGTAGTAAAAAAAATATATAGCTATATGTAAATATTTACTAGTCAATAGACTCCTTTGTTTGAATGCAGAATATGTGTCCCAAACGTCTGTAAATTAGAATGTAGCATATCATAAATTAGAAAATTATCTGACCCAGCAGGAAGAAGTTTGTATTACAATAGCAATCTTGGAAAGCTAAACAATCCAGGATTACAATATTTGTATACAATTATACTACTCTACCACAATTATCTTGTATGAATGTGAAACTTCTATTGACTGTGTGTTTACTTGGGAACAATATATTTACACATTAATGAAAGTATTTCAGAAATTACTGGGAAAACTTAAATAAATGGTGATTCTATTTTCTCCTCACTTCTTGTGTAGCAATTCTATATCTGATATTTCTCTAACCACAAGAACAGAACTACTTACACTAGCTTGCTTGAAACAAAAATACCAGCTGATAGCTTGAAAATGAAAGAAAGTATTAAATAATATAGGGATGTCAATCTATAAGACCATGACTGGTTTGTACTGTTTAATTTTCTTACACTTTAAATACAGATGACCTACAATAGGGGTCATCAACCTTTCCCTGCATGAGGGCAACTGGGAGGATATTTCAATTAAAATTCAGCACCACATGTTTTTACACCTCCCCCCCCCCCCCC